CACACAGCTAATCTACTTACCTGATCAGCCTCAGATCTGTGTATCTCCATTTCTCTAGATGCTGCTGAAACATTTTAGCGTTAACCTACCACAAACTAGAAATTAAAAATAGCTCCTCTTCCTTAGACATTCAGTAAGTGAATAAAGAGGGATATTTTATTTTCTCCTCAGCAGAAAGCTAATAAATGCTGTCGTGTTTAGTTTAGTAAGTTTAGCTACCATTTTCATTCAACAGTCCTTGAGGATAGGAATTGCCATCATTTTAAAATTAAGGCACAGGGCGCCTGGGTGGCTCAGTTGGTTAAGCGACTGCCTTCGGCTCAGGTCATGATCCTGGAGTCCCAGGATCGAGTCCTGCATCGGGCTCCCTGCTGAGCAGGGAGTCTGCTTCTCCCTCTGACCCTCCCCCCTCTCATGCTCTCTCTATCTCATTCTCTCTCGCAAATAAATAAATAAAATCTTTAAAAAAAAATAAAATAAAATTAAGGCACAAATCTGCCCAGAGTTACCCATTAACTAGTAGAGGAATTGGAAAACAATACGAAATGACTGTCCCAGACCTAAGTATCTTACCTCCCATTTGGCCAAGACACAAACGTGGTCTTTCACATTTCACAAAGAGGTACAGTCGTGTGAAACAGACTGGGTAACAAAACAATTTCCATAGCTATTTAAGCACATCTTTAAAAGTTTTTATTTAGAAATATTGTCAAATAAAGTCTTTAAAAATATTTTTTTTAACTTTAAATATAGGTAAGTTACAGTCTATGCTGAAGTTATTTTTTCTGCTTTGTGTTCACAATGTACTTGTTATCTTTTCATCTTTTATATTCTACCCTCCAAGAAAAGCATTTGAAAGTTTCAGGGGTTTGTGTTGGTAATTTACAGCTAATAGAGCTTTTTATTTTTATTTTTTATTTTATTTTTTTTTTTAAGATTTTATTTATTTATCTGAGACAGAATGAGAGAGACAGAGAGCACATGAGAGGGGGGAGGGTCAGAGGGAGAAGCAGGCTCCCTGCCGAGCAGGGAGCCCGATGCGGGACTCAATCCTGGGACTCCAGGATCATGACCTGAGCCGAAGGCAGTCGCTTAACCAACTGAGCCACCCAGGCGCCCTAATAGAGCTTTTTAAATGCCCATTCTTCCCACCCACCGTGGATGGGTATGTTTTCACCTAGCCTGTTTAGAAGGCAGTAAAGCAGTTTAGACAAAGGCATCATTGTTTGGACTAAGAAAATGTTAACGAAAGTGAAGAGTGATTTCAACTTTTGAGTCACACAGGGAGACCCAGACCAATATCTAAATTAGCGTGTGATACAGAAGCAGTCATGTTGGTCAATCCATAACTTGAAGTTAAACACAGAAGCAGTCATGTTGGTCAATCCATAACTTGAAGTTAAACAGGACTTCATGTTATAGATGATATTGAATAGCTGGGAAATAATACCTGGTCTAACCTGTACTAATATGAAGCCATTTATAGGTTTTACCTATGTTACTAGGAGTGAACATTCCTTGACTTCACTGCAGAAATACTGATCACAGTGTGCTGCCCTGGACCCCACTGGGGACGTTTCACAGCATGTTGTGTATGGACCTTATTTCCATTCTATTTAAAGATTTTATTTGACAGCACAAGGAGAGAGAGAGAGAGAGAGAGAGAAGCAGGCTCCCTGCTGAGCAGGGAGCCTGATGTGGGACTCGATCCCAGGACCCTGGGATCATGACCCAAGCCAAAGGCAGACGCTTAACCAACTGAGCCACCCAGGCGCCCTCAAGCATTCTTTTTAACTTGTGGTTCTTGTGCAGGCCACATGACAGTTTTATATTTTGAAAATAATTATAAATAACTATCATTCATTGACTTGAAAAAGGTAGAACCAGTGACTAATTATAGGCCAAAGGCGGGGTTAGAAAATCACCTTTATTATTCACAGTGCTCCTTCAAAGCTGATTACAATGTCTAGGAAACAGCTTAATTCTATCTTCACACTCTCCTTCCCTTTTATTTTTTTATTTTTTAGCAACTTCAACAACCAAAGTTTCTTTCATGCAAATAAGCATTATCTCCTTTCCTTTTAGCACGGTGCTGCAAAGTGACTGGCTAATAAACCAGTCAGGTGTTATTGCTATCAGTAGGTAACATGCTATTCTGCTTGGTACCTACACAGTTGGCATGCAACAATTGTTTAATGGATAAGTCAGTTGTTAAAATTTTGATGGATTGTTTAGTCCTATAAGTAAGCATTGACTTACCTCACCCCTTATCACCTGATGCTTTTTTTTTTTTAAGGTTTTATTTGACAGAGATAGCAAGAAAGGGAACACAAGCAGGGGGAGTGGGAGAGGGAGAAGCAAGCTTCCTGCAGAGCAGGGAGCCCAATGCAGGGCTCCATCCCAGGACCCCGGGACCATGACCTGAGCCAAGGCAGACGCTTAACGACTGAGCCACCCAGGCACCCCTCACCTGATGCTTTTGTGACAGATTTTCTACTAGTGGACTGTTTCAGACAATGAAGGAAACAGAACTTTAATTAATTGATGAAAGCCACCCCACCCCCCCTTCCCTGGCCTGGACAGGAGACTGAATTGGAGTCCTTGATTCCCAGTATATCTTAACTAGTCTGAAAGGGAGAGGTAGAGAGGGCCATGATATTTGAGAATAAAATCTTGTTTATTTATAGCTGAGCTTTATGTCCTTGTGTTTAATGCCATGACCATTAAGCCATTCCTATAACACATTTATCTTCTAAAGGAAGCTTGTGAAATGTCTCCAGAATGACCTGGGGGTTTTTTTGTTTGTTCGTTTGTTTTAAGTAAGCTCTAGGCTCAGTGTGGGGCTTTAACTTAATGACCCTGAGATCAAGAGTCACCCGCTTTACTGACGGAGCCAGCCAGGCACCCCAGAATGACTTGGTTTTTAGTGACATTAATTATTGTTTTCTTAGGGGACCTGATTCTTTCTAGTAACAGATTCCAAAATGATGCAGTTTGTCAAAGACTGTTTCATCTTCAGTATCTTTAAAAAAATAAAATTAGGTAAAGCATTTTTGGATAGACTGCATCCATCTGGTCTATTTTCCTGTTACCCAGTAATGTTTTTCATCCTCAACCAGCTCTGAAAGGACATTAAAGAGTCTCCTGTTACACACTATAGCACTAATGTTCGTAATAGAACATTAAGATAGGTTGAAAGCTTCCATAATTTTGCCTACACTCAATCTTTCCCTACCTTCTGCCCTTTTATCTCCTACTTACATTTTTGTAGTAACTATATTGAAGGTACCTGACCACTAAATTGTACGTTTCTTTGAGAGCAGGAGCTATACCATATTTATTTTCACATTTCCTGTGTGCTTAAAACGGGACCTTTATTTCTTCGGCAAATATTCACTGAATATCCACTAGGTGTCAGATATACTAGGTAGATTCTAGGAACACCAAGATAACTAGGTACAGACATGCCCTTGGGAATCTGTCTTGTGGGAGAGAGGTGGAAAAAGATATTTGTAAGCCAAAAAGACAAAACCAAAAACCCTGCAGTATAATATGATGTTATAGTGGAATAGGACATTTCCTGGTTTAAGAGGACTAAAAAATCATTTCCAAAAATATCTCCCTAATAAACTTGCCTCAGTGACTAAATTTCTACCATTAGGATGTCATTCTTTATAAGACCATTATTGCATTGTGATTGCCTCTGGGCAGGAGAACTAAGGGGCATCAATGGGCTGTGGAATTACTTTTTCCCTCTTTTTAAAACCTTTTTGTTAATTTTACATACAGTAAGATTCACTCTGGTATATAATTTCATGAATTTTGACAAATGCATGAAAGTCCTGTAATACCATCACCATCAAGATACAGAACAGTTCCATCACCTCAAAAAGTTCTTTTGTACTGCCCCTTTTATAATTTTATATATTTCATAATTTTTGGTAAAAAAAATTATTTTCCAAAAATAAGGTTTGACTGTTTCATGTACATCTTTTCCTTATCAAAAAAAGTATGTCTTTGGGTTAAGATAGTACCTTTTCTAATAAGTTCTAATAAGCCTCTGGAGAATATATATATCCAAGGAAGGGCTAAATCACTACACCATCATAAGTCATCTACGTAGATCAAGCTGCTGAAAAGAATTAGGACTCAAAAAGGTAAAGGGTGTATGTGGTATGTTACATTAGGTTAGAAAGAGGAAAGGAGTTGGGGTAGAGGAGGAGATTAGGGCCTGACAGTGGAATAGCATGCATAGAAGGATAAGGATAACATGTTTGAATAGGATCCCTGGGTTCTCAAAGATTCAGGGGGCACCAAAGAAGAGATGAGTCCTGAAGAGGGGTGGTCTTCACGTAAAGATTGGTCAATATATCGTTATCTGGAACTACAGTCCTGGGATTCTAGAACTGGTTCGGCTAGTAACTCATTCTTGAAAAGTCACTTTCCTTTTCTGGGCCTCAAATTCATCATCTATTTAAAAAAAAAATGTTGGATTAAGTATATTCTCAAGTCTATTTGAGTATTCTCCAACTAGAGGTGAAACTTTTGGGTATGTGTATCTGGGTTGGGGGTTGGTTCTGAGTTTCTGTCCCATTTTAACTGTAGAGGCACATCTGTAGATAACAATAATCAAACTAACAAGTATTAAAATCTCTTAAAATGTCATGTAGTTTGATGTCAGAAGCTGCAAGGCAAAGTTAATGCTGATCTCATTTGGACTCCAGTGATCTAGCTGTCTGGCCCTCAAGTGTTCTCATTTGTAGAATGACTGGATATACTTTAAGTTTCCTTGCAGTTTCCCATTTTATGAACATGAAACCCATTAAAACTTAACAGTGTTATTTCTATTCTCATTTCCTCTGGGTCTGTACCTATTCTGATTTTGCTTTTTTGAGGTATTAGTCACTATTCATTCAGTACGTCTGTGTGCCAGAATTTTTAATGTATGGTATTTGACCTCTGTTATTTAAGAAATTTTACACTGCTGCTGTCTTTTATAGGTGTACAAGTATGGGAAAATCACACCATGCCTCCCACCCCTATCCTGGATAACATATCCCTACAATAAGATCTCATTTCAGTAAATATTACAAGTAGCATTAGAGAGGGGAAGAAGGGAAGGAAGATGTGTGTGGCTTCCAATTGGTAAGTGAAGGGAAAGGAACTAACAGTTGAGGACCTACTATGTGCTAGGTACCTTGTATGTGCCTATCTTCTTTAGGTCATTGATTAAAACAGACAGGAAGGGAGCCTATTTATCTTGATAACAAAAAGGAAAAAATTCTTTCGTCCCACAAATCATTGGAATTATTCAGAATATATATTTTTTCATGTCTTTCTCCCATATGAGGGCACAAACAGCACGGCGCTTCTGCATAGTGTTTGGCAAATATTTATTGAATGAATAGGGACTTTTCTCATGTCCTTAGAATAGTGGTTCTTTGGGTCCATGGACCTCTAAGAATTTTATAAAGGCTATGGACCCACCTAGGATGTCTCCTCTCTCACTACCCAAACACAACAAAATAAAAAACAGCCAACTCCCTCTCCTTGCCCTAAGTACCTCCATGTCTGTATTTGTGCAAAATCCATAATTTTGGAATGTTTTCTGCCTTTCTGCAATTTATTCATGTGTCCCAGGTTAAGAACTCAGGCCTGGAAACATCTCTGGATATCTAGACAGCCTAGGAGCTTAATTACATTAACTTGTAATGCTTATAGAGTTGTCATCTTTATTGGTCCTTTATAGGTTTGAGAAAATCGCACCATGCTTCCTGACTGTTCAGTTTGTTTTGTTTGTTTTTTTATGAGCAGAAATTATATCCAACTTGCTTTTTGGTTCATTAATATGTGCTACAACCAAAGATCATTATATTTTTAAGATTTTTGAAGTAGGAATTGTTTAATTGTACAGATGAAGAAATTAGGTTTGTCCCAAAGTTTATTTTATGTGAGTATCATATCTCTGGCTTTCTAAATGGAATGATTTCCCTCCCTCCCTTCCTCCCTCCCTCCCTCCTTTCATTCCTTCCTTCCTTCCTTCGTCCCTCCCTCTTTCTTCCCTTCCCTTCCCTTCCCTTCCCTTTCCTTCCCTTCCCTTCCCTTCCCTTCCCTTCCCTTCCCTTTCCTTCAATACTTCTCATTCAGAAACCCACTTAAAGTATTGTTAGGCCAGTGTCCTCATCTGTGAAATTTCATCTGGGTAGAGAAAGATGGTGAAAAGAAATGACCTTGTCTCATAAGGGAAGACAATGACTTGTAAAACAAATATTCTAAGTAATTCCAAATATGGTATGAGAACTCCCCCATAAAGTTGTGAGAATCAAATTGGTTGAAGGAAAACAGTGTTGTGTAAACTCTACAGTTTTCTGAACACAACTGGCCCTTACCTTGATATAAAATCCAGGGTCTAGTACAGAGAAGTTATTTGGATGCTTATCTAATTTCCAATATCTCCTGTGCTTTTACTTGACAGCAAGACAGCATCTCATCCAGGCTTGTGATAGAGGAAAATTGAGTTATTATTATTATTATATTTTTAAAGTGAAAAATAGGGAGTTTGTCGATCAAATGGACTAGTATTTTAAGCACTTATTATGTGCCAGGAGCTTTTTAATTTCTGGGTGAAGAATAACAGAGTCTCCATTGTACACTTACCCCAGGCTATATACAGAGTTATAGCTAACATTTGAGTGCTTACTGTAAGCAAAAGCATTGTTCCAGGTGCATTTGCATTTATTTCATTCACATGTTTCTCAATCTTTGTAATAACTCAGTAAAATACTGTTAACATTGTCATCACCAACAATAAGAAAACTGGAATTTAAAGAGATTAGACAGTTTGCCCAACAATGTTGCAAAGCTGAGACTTTGAACCCTGGCTGATTTGACTCTGAAGTCTGTACTCCATTCCAGTACACTACCAAAGCTTCTAGCATATAACCATTAATCTTTGCAATCATTTGCGAAGTCCATATGGCTGTCCATAGTGGGGGAGGCCATAAATGTGGGACTAAGGGGGAGTTACTGAGCCTTTTCTGAGAGAAGTGGTACCTTCCCCCACAAACAAGTTTCTTGTGCTGAAATCAGGTTGGAAAGATAAAAAAGGTTGAAGAAGGTGGAGGTGGCATGGTTGAACCTGTTCAGGAACTGATTACATCTGAGCCTCTGGCCCTTTTGCCTGCCAGCTGACTCAGAGCTGGCTGATGGGCCAAAGCCCAGGCAGGTTAATTTCATGGGCTGTATACTTCAAAGGATCTGATTCCTGGCACTGCTATGCACGTTGTTTTTCAGAGGGCAGAACCTTATGGGGGAGGGAACAGGATGGCCTCAAGGAAGTGTTTGCAAAAGACCAAGGCAGTATTTGCTCTAAATCCAAATATACACAGCTTGTTCTAGGTTTAGCAATAAAAAACACAAGATCAGACCTAAGCATGGCTTAAAATTGGGTATTTAAATCTTAAGTATTCCTCTGCAGTAAATACAGCATTTAAGAATATGAATCCTAGAGTTAGACCTCGATTTCAATATTGGCTCTACCACTCTCCTGTGAATAAATTGATTACTAGGCCTCAGTTTTCTCATGTGCGAAATGGGGATTAAGTACCTACTTCATATACTTGTTGTGAAGGTTAAAGTGAGTATAAAGCATATGTCACAGTACCTGAGACATAGTAAATTCTCTTGAAAAACAGTCATTCAGAGAAAACTCGTATTTTATAAGAATCTCTGGGCTTAAATTAATTGATTTATTTTTCTTTTACTTAACACATTCAAAAAGCATTTATTATTGTATTCAGTGGCAGGGATGCTGAAAACAGTAACAACTTTTGTTGAACATGTAAAATGAGCCAAATATTTTTAAAAACATATTTTCTCATTTAATGTGCCCTACAAAGTATTTTCCTACCTTATTAATGAGACCCTAGGTTGAGAGAAGTTCAGTAGCATGATTAAGATTGTATAGTCAGCAACTGTAACTCCAAAACCTATGAATAAAATAGACTTTATCCCCATTGGAACATATTATTCAGCAAGCAGTCAGACACATGAACAAATATCTACATTCAAAGTGATGTTATTGAGGTTTATACTACATGATTGGGAGCAGAGAACAGGGAAGGTGAACCGGGCAGGGGTGTGCCTGGGTGGAATAAGGTTCATCATCTTCACAGGAATAAATAAATAATAGTGGGGCTTTTGCTAGTAGAGGAGGGGTTTCAAGAGAGGTCTTTCTGTGTCTCCAAGTCACAGATTATGTTGTTTACTTGAAGTGGAATGGTAGGAGTTATATACAAATAATGTCTGTTTGCATCAGAAGTATCTGTACCTCCTTGGGCTTTGTAACTGAACTAACAATAATAGCAACTAATTCCTATTGCATGATCATTAGATACTAGTCACTACTGTGTTCACAGGCAAGAACTCTCTTATTTTTAGAAAGGGAGAGAGGAGAGAGAAGGGGCAGAGGGAGAGAGACTATTGTACAGCATGGAGCCCAACTCAATCTCACAACCCTGAGATCCTGACCTGAGCCAAAATCAAGAGTTGGGTGCTTACCCGACTGAGCCATGCAGGTACCCCTCACAGAGCAGAACTTTTAACTAGAGAAAGGTGGAAAGACTTTGTCTAAACCAATAATCTCAAATTAAGTACACTTAATTTGGGTAAATACCCCCAATATATGTATATTACTTCCTAGTATAAGATGTCCACTATGAAATGCAGATATACAACCAAAAATTGTAAGGGATGAAATGAAGTTGAAATAAACTATTTTATCTCAGGGCAAAATATTCTTGGGATTCTGCATGTTGTTATTAATAGTGGATATAAATTAATATTTCAAATAGGCTACTTAATAGTTTTGGATTTTTTTTGGTCATTTGTCAGTTTTGATTAAATGATCATTGTATTTACGATCATAATATGACTGATACTAAGTAGAAGTGTCAGTTCTGCCAATTTTTTGGTCCTCTTATGTATCATCTTCAATTCAGAGTTTTTCTAAAGCAATCTTTTTAAATCAATTGTTTATTTTGTGAGATTTAATTTAGCAAAAATTAGACTAGAAAAAATCCATAAATCCTCTTTTTTAAAAAAGATTTATTTATTTATTTTAGAGAGAGAGAGAGCGTGTGCACAGGGGTGAGGGGCAGAGGGAGAGAAAAGAGAGAATCTCAAGCAGACTCCCCGCTGAGCACAGAGCCTGACTCGGAGCTCCATCCCACGACCTACATCATGACCTGAGCCAAAATCAAGAGTGGGACGTTTAACCAACTGAACCACTTAGGTGCCCCTAAATCCTCTTTGGAACTGCAATATGTCACTAAATTCTGAAAGTGAAAGAACTCCCATTCACACTTCATGTGAGCACTAAATATAGGGACAATGTGGAGATGCCAAACTCAGTCTATATTAATAGAGGTTAATTTTTTTTTTATGAATAAGAAACATGTATAAGAAAAACTCTTGTCACACCTCAGATTGCCTTGCATACCTGTAGAGTGAGCACACTCCATTTTGTAGGTCAGTGGTCTAAGCAACAGGACCTGTGGCCATGAAGTGGGAATATCCAATCTTATCTTCAGCAATGACTGATCCAGATTCATTTATGAATGACAAATGAGAAGGGCACAATATGACTTCTCAGGAAATCAGAAGAGCTCAGCAGAGCTGGAACTTTGAGAATGTGGCCTGTCTGTACAAAGGCAGAGCCTATATTCTTTAAGTGCTTCAAAGAAATACATTCTAGTTTTGAAGAAAATGTCAGTACTACTTACGCTTAATCCCAGTTCGGCTATTTACTAGCCATGCAATTTGGGGAAAGCAGCAACCTCTTGTAGTTTGTTTCTCATCTCTGAAATAAGAATGATTAATGCCAGTATTTACCTCACTAAGAAGTTTAATGTGATACTATTGAACCCTCACTATGTGCAGAGATGCTGAGCTAAACTATTTACAAGAATTCTTTTAGTCTTCATGATACACTAGGGTGGTAGAAGCTAACTAATTTTTCACTAAAACATTTTCCTTTTCAGGGCACCTGGGTGGCTCAGTTGGTTAATCATCTGCGTTCAGCTCAGGTCATGATCCCAGGGTCCTGGGATAGAGCCAAACATCGGACTCCCTGCTCAGCGGGGAGTCTGCTTCTCCCTCTCCCTCTGCAGCTCCCCCTGCTTATGCTCTCTCTCTGTCAAATAAATAAATAAAATCTTAAAAAAAATTTTTCCTGTTCTTCCTGGGCACACAAAAGGACTACATTTCCTTGCAGCCACATTGTTTTGTGCTGGCCGGTGAAAAATGAGCAGCAGTGATCAACATCACCTTCAGGCCTGGCCCATGAAACTTGCCCTTCTAATTCTCCATGCTCTCTTCTCTCATCTGGGAGAGGATCCAGCAAAACCAGTAGTGCAAGGGCCTGTCTTTTTCTCCCCCCACCTCCAACTTTACTGGATTGTGATATGAACTAGAAATAAACTCTTAATTGTGTTAAGTCATTGAGATGTGGGGGTTATTTGTCATAGCAGTTAACGTATCCTGACTAATACAACAAGATTTGACAAGAACCCAGAGAAGGGAGAGATAAATTGTTTACAGTGTCTGGCACATGATGTACAATAAAAAAGTTGATTAACCTCATTAAGAAACATGAAGGTTACTTTTAGGAGAGGGCTTATGAGCAACTATCTAAAACTCCTCTGGATAGAGTGTGAGAAAATGTCAGGAATCACTGACATACACTCTGGTTTCCAAAGCTTTTCATAGATACCACTGGGCAGACCTCAAGAAATAGAGATACCAGTCCTGCAGTACCTCATACTCTGTAGCCTGCTAAATCAGTTCAGCACATTTCCCTAAGTTTTATAAAAATATGTAATAAGTACAAATACATTTTTTAATCATGTACTGGGAAGCCTTCATCTTTTTTATTTATTTTTTTTTTTAGATTCTATTTATTTACTTGAGAGAGAGAGAGAGCGAGCGGGGTTGTAGTGGGGAGAAGCAGAGGGAGAGGGACAAGCAGACTCCATGCTAAGCCCAGAGCCTGACTCAGGGCTTCATCTCAGGATCCTAAGATCATGACCTGAGCCGAAATCAAGAGTCAGGTGCTCAACTGATTAAGCCACCCAGGCACCCCTCCTTCCTCCATCTTGATTAAGTTTTCCTCATTTATTCAAATTCAAGAGCTAAAATGTGTGTTTTAGATTTCTCTCAAGTTACTCTCAAGTCATTTCTCTCTGAGTAGTTTCCTTTGCTCTAACACATTTTCTGGACATTATAGTACTTAGCTGGAGCTGTATTTTTAATCTTGAGAAATTTAATTCCTATAATTTGGCCTTGGTCTCTGAATGATCTCATATCATATTTTTTTATGTAGTAACTACTATTGTATTTTCCTCTTCCTCCTTCATACTTATTTGGCAAAGTTGATTCCTATGGAATTGCACGGATAACTACTTAGGCTCCTGGCTTCACATTTACTCCTCAAATGCAGATAAATTATTTCTTCTTGACTTTGGTGAATTAGAATAGTAGCACAGCCTTCCAAGACATTTTGTTGCTATTATCCTTATCAAATTCCTCCCCTCAGTCTTATATTTTCAAAACATTCTGGAGGTAGGCAATTGGTTTTGAAGCCTTGATAAATGGTCACAGAAGCTATGTGGCTTAGAGGAAGCAAACAGGCTTTGTGTGCAGACAAACTTGATTTCCAACCCCGGCATAGCCACCAACTAGCTATATATGACGTTGGTCAGTTATTCAACTTTTTAAGAGTTACAACTAAAATGGAGATGGTAAAACCCACATTACAAAGGTAAGTGGGATATATAGGCTAATTTCACTTTTGAATATGGATACAATAATCTTAAATACTAGCAAACCAAATCCAAAATATACCTCATAACCATTTATTTATATCAAGAATGTAAGTTTGGTTTAATATTTTTTTTAAGATTTTATTTATTTATTTGAGAGAGGGAATGAGAGAGAGAGAGAGCACATGAGAGGGGGGAGGGTCAGAGGGAGAAGCAGACTCCCCGCCGAGCAGAGAGCCCGATACGGGACTCGATTCCGGGACTCCAGAATCATGACCTGAGCCGAAGGCAGTCGCTTAACCAACTGAGCCACCCAGGCGCCCAGTTTGGTTTAATATTTTTAAAAATCAAAATGTAGTTTATATCTTAACTGATTGATGGGATAAACACATTACAATAGATAAAGAAAAATTTTTGATAAAATTTAACATCCATTCATAAAAACAAAACTTCTGCCAAAGTGGAATAGAAGAGAACCTCTTAAATTGACAAAGTATAGCTATTTTAAAAATTATGCTTAAAGAAGCAAAAGCTTTCTTAAATTGATAAAGGATAACTTTAAAAAAGTATATCATACTTAATGGTTAAAAGACAAATAAGTGGAGCCCCTGGGTGGCTCAGTCAGTTAAGCATCCAACTTGTGATTTCAGCTCAGGTCATGAGCTCATGGGTTATGAGATCCAGCCCCACATCGGGCTCCATGTCTGTCTGAGATTCTCTCCTTCTTCCTCTCCCTCTGCCCCTCCCCCCATTCTCTCTTTCAAATAAATAAATCTTTAAAAAAAAAGATGATACATGTCTTTCTCTGATTGACTTATTTCGCTCAGCATAAAACATGTATCATATGATCTCACTGATATGAGGAATTTTTTTTAAAGATTTTATTTATTTATTTGACAGAGAGAGTGAGAGAGCACAAGCAGGGGGAGCAGTAGAAGGAGAGGGAGAAGCAGGCTTCCTGCTGAGCAAGGAGCCCGATGCAGGGCTTGATTCCAGGACCCTGGGATCATGATCTGAGTGGAAGGCAGACGCTTAACCATCTGAGCCACCCAGGCGCCCCTTGATATGAGGAATTATTAATCTCAGGAAACACACTGAGGGTTGCTGGAGTGGTTGGGGGGGGGATGGGGTGGCTGGGTGATAGACATTGGGGAGGGTATGTGCTATGGTGAACACTGTGAATTGTGTAAGACTGTTGAATCACAGACCTGTACCTCTGAAACAAATAATACATTATATGTTAAAAAAAAAAAAAAAGATAGTAGGAAGGGAAAAATGAAGGGGGGGAAATCGGAGGGGGAGACAAACCATGAGAGACTATGGATGCTGAGAAACAAACTGAGGGTTCTAGAGGGGAGGGGGTGGGGGGATGGGTTAGCCTGGTGATGGATATTAAAGAGGGCACGTACTGAATGGAGCACTGGGTGTTATATGCAAACAATGAATCATGGAACACTACATCAAAAACTAATGATGTAATGTATGGTGATTAACATAATAAAATAAAAAACCAAAAACAAACAAACAAAAAGATGAAAAGTTTCCCTTTGAGGTCAAGAATAAGAGACTTCTTGGATGCCTGTCTGGCTTAGTTGGTAGAGCATGTGACTCTTCATCTTGGAATTGTGAGTCGAGCCCCATGTTGGATGTGGAGATTACTTTTATTTTTATTTTTTTTAAGATTTTAATTTTAAGTAATCTCTACACCCAACATGGGGCTCAAACTCACAAACCCAAGATGAAGAGTCACACACTCTACCAACTGAGCCAGCCAGGCACCCCAGAGATTACTTTTAAATAAATAAATAAATAAATAAATAAATAAATAAATAAATAAATAAATAAATAAAAATAATATAATTTTTAAAAAAGAATAAGAAACTTCTTTTACTTATCATTGTCCTGGAGATCCTAGCCAGCTAAGGAGAAAAAAATTTAAATGATAGATAGATGAGAGAGAGAGAGATAGATATTCAGGAGGAAAGAAAATCCAAAACAACTACATATAGATTATTAAAATTTAAAAAGAGCTTGGAAGGGGCGCCTGGGTGGCTCAGTCGTTAAGCGTCTGCCTTCAGCTCAGGTCATGGTCTCAGGGCCCTGGGATGGAGCCCCACATCCAGCTCCCTGCTCTGTGGGAAGCCTGCTTCTCCCTCTCTCACTCCCCCTGCTTGTGTTCCCTCTCTCACTGTGTCTCTCTCTGTCAAATGAATAAAATCTTTAAAAAAAATAAAAAATAAAAAGAGCTTGGGAAGTTCATTGGATACAAGACTAATAATATATAAAAATCAATTACATTTTATATATCACAAATATATATAGTTTTTTAAAAGTATCTGAAATAGACAACTTACAATTAAACACTAAAAATACCAAGAGCCTAGGAATAATCTAATAAAAGATGTCTATCTCTAAAGGGAAGACTAAAACTTTGTTCAGAGACATTAGAAAAGACAAAAAGAAATGGAGAAATGTACCATGTTCAGACTGTCTTCTTCACTCTGCTTCTTTTTAAATACATGTATGCCTTTTATTTATTTATTTATTTGTTTATTTATTTATGTATTTATTTATTTAAGCTCTATGCCCAACATGGGGCTTGAACTCACAACCTTGAAATCAAGAGTCACCTTCTCTACCAACTAAGCCAGCGAAGCACCCCTTTACTTTGCTTCTTAGTGCTCTGAATACAGTACCCTGCTTGGAACCCAAGTCCTGGTGCCTCAGAGACCTTTCTGCCTCCATTTCTTTGTTGCTGTAAACAAACACTTGTATTAGAAAGCAAAACTAAAGAAACAGCTCCTGATAGTCTTAGCACTGTTGTGTCCATTCCTGGAAACAAGCTCACTGTCACCAGGTCTAGCAAGGACTGTACTGCGTCTACATGGTAGACCCTGATCTTTGAAAGTTCTGGGAAAGCCCAGCTCATCTCCAAACAGAAGAAGAATAGTCAACATTTATAGATGGATTCACTCCATCCAAATCACATTCCTTCTTTTGACCTTTAGTACAAGCCTGAGAGGAAAGGATTTGTATTATCCCATTTCCTATATAAGAATACTGAGGCAACCAAAGACCCACAGTCAGTCATGAATCCAGGGCCTTTGATACCAAATTTGATGGATTATCTTCTATAAAAACAATGCATTTCTTAGAGCAGCCCTGTCGTACCATCATCATGGTACATTCATCAGGGCAAATTCAAGGTCTTGAGTCTTTTGACTGAACAAATCTTTTCCCTATGCCTCTATTCTCAAACAATTGAGTTTCTGTAGGCATTATACTTTACACTTTAGGAAGGGAAGAGAGGGAGAGCAAGGAAAGCGAAGAGTAGGGACTTTACAGTAGTTTCCTCACAAATCGCAATTCGTTTTTATAGTCAAGCCAAAACCTCCTTTCTCTTACCTGTGAAGAGAGATAATAAATTTTTCTCTTTCTCAGTCTTTTTAGGATTAAAGTGAAACATGAAAAGGGCATAGCACAATGCCTAGCACATAGTATGTGCTCAGTAAATGCTAGCTATTGCTATTGGCAGCTACTATGTCACTAGAAGATAATCCTACAAGTTTTACAATCAGAATATTTCCCAGATCAGAGTAGAGGAAGCACAATGCCAAACTGACTGCAGTCTTTTTTTCTTTCTTTTTTTTTTTTTTTTGCCAGGTCTTTTGTACTGTATTTAAAGAGATATCCTTTCTCTGGAGAGCTATAGTGGGGAAGAAGGCCCCCACAAACTAAGTGCTTTTGGTTCTCAGCATGAGTTACAAAGGAAGCCATATTGTATAAGACATCTCCTTTGTTTATTTGTTCATTCTTTTATTTTATTTTAATTTTTTTGCAATAGATCTTTATTGAGGAGCCAGCAATGTACTAGGCACTATGCTAGTCATTGAGAATGGAGAAGATTATATTGTAAGTTAGCACTACAAAAAAGGAACTCTGGGACGGTCTTCTCAGGCATCACAGTTCTGGGGGTTCCTTTTGGGGAAGAGGAGGAGGTACACTGCCAAATATGGTGAAAAATGCATATGCTTGGCATCAGAGGGATGGAAGTTTAAAGCAAGGTGCTGCTTACTTTATGTGTAAACTTGAACAAATCCTTCATATCTCTAGACCTCCATTTCTTCATCTGCTAAATGGGAATTAAATACTTACCGTGAAGAATTATAATGAGGATCCTATGGTGTCAGTTAAGTGAAGTGCCTGGCCCTTAGTGGCTCCTCCTTCTCATGAATTGATGGGCTGTCTGTCCTTCTAACTTCTCCATTCCAAGTTGCATTTTTCTTTGTGGTTTCTTTTTCCCTTTAAGCCTGATCTTAATTTGCTGTAAAACCAGCTCTCAAACATATAATAATAATAAAATAAATGGAGAAGTGGGTGGGACACAGAGTGTACTTTGCCCCCCATCAGGAAGCCACCCTCCCACTCCTCTTCCCACACAGTCGTCATTGTTTCCAGCACAAACTACTGGGTCTCAAAGGCCAGTCATTCCTTAATTGTCCATAACCAAGAATTTCAAGGCATCTCTGATTGGTACATCAAAAGGAGCCCTTTCGGTGCAGGTGGACTGTTTTTACATTTGCTCTTTATCCTTCAGTAACTGGTCAGACTATTCAGACGGAAAAAGGATCTTGTAAAGAAGTTGACTCTAAAAGAATGCTGAGTATGTGCTTCTTGGGCTCTTGATGCATCAGGACAAATGTCCTTTGTCCTCTGAATAGAGATGGCCCAGCTTCTTTGTGTCTATTTGAACCCTGCTTTAAACCCCGAAAAAGTTGTTTTCTTCATTTATTTACTTAGTTGTTTATTCATTTACTCAGTAGACATTTACTGACCACTAACTATGTGCCAAACCTGTGCTAGATCTGGGGGATCTATCAATGAAAAAGAGACAGACTCAACCCCTACCCTCAGGCAGCTTACATTCTACCAGGGCAGACAAACAACAACAACAAAAGTCATCAAATAAATTAACAAGAAAATTGTGATAGGGGTGCCTGGGTGGCTCAGTCGGTTAAGTGTCTGCCTTCGGTTCAGGTCATGATCCCAGGGTCCTGGGATCAAGCCCCACATTGGGCTCCCTGCTCAGTGGGGAACCTGCTTCTCCTTCTCCCTCTGCCTGCCGCTCTGCCTACAAGTGATCTCTCTCTGTCTGTCAAATAAATAAATAAAATCTTTTTAAAAAATTGTGATAGATGAGTACTATGAAGGAACTAAACAGAGAAATGTATAAAAGAGTAATTAGATAGAATGGGAAGTGAAGAGTGGCCAGAGTGGGCCTTTCTGAGGAGGGTGTATTTAAAGTGAGCCCTGAGGTGCCAGTTTTGTGAGTAGCCAGAAAAAAGCTTTCTCAGCAGAGGGAACTGTAAATGCAAAAATCTCTGAGTAGGGGGTAGGGCTTGGTATGTGTAGAGAAATTAAAGGGGTATGAAGTAAGAGGGGAGAGGCTGACAGATAACAAATAAAGCAGGATTTGATAAGCCAGGAGTATGGATTTTACTTTAAGTTCAATTCATTAAATATTCAGCAAACGCTGATTGAACGCCTAATGTACACCAGGCACTGTTCTAGGCTCTGAACATGCAGCAGTAACATTGAAAGTAAAATTTTTTTTTAATATAAAGTATAGTTGACAAGCAATTTTGCATTAGTCCCACCTGTACTGAAAGTAACTTTTGAAAATTACATTATATCACAGAAGGCAGACAGTAAATAAGTAAAATAGCATTTTTAGATAGTGCTAGGGAGAATAATAATTAATTTAAAGATTTTATTTCCTTTTTAAAATTTTATTTATTTAATTTGAGAGAGAGAGAGAGAGCTCTTGCACACGTGTGTGTGTGCGGGGGTTTGGGGCAGACAGAGGGAGGGAAGAGAGAGAATCTTAAGCAGGTTCCATGCCCAGCATGGAGCCTGATGGAGGACTCAATCTCACAAACCTGAGATCATGATCCAAGCTGAAACCAAAAGTCAGATACTTAACTGACTGAGCCAACCAAGTGCCACTTAAAGATTTTATTTAAGTAATCTCTACACCCAGCATGGGGCTTGAACTCACCCCCAAGATCAAGAGTCTGATGCTCTACAGACTGAGCCAGCCTGGCACTCCAGGGAGAGTATTTTAACAAACTAAGAAAAGGAGTTAAGAAGTATAGGGTTGCAATTTTAGATAAAAGTGGCCAGACAAGTCCTCACTGAAAAAAATTATATATTTTTAAAGATTTTATTTATATGATAGAGAGAGTGCGAGCTGGGGAGGGGGTAATGAGGGGGATGTGGAGGAGGAGAGCGAGAGGACAAGCAGACTCCCTGCTGAGCACTGAGCTCAATCCCAGGACCCCAAGATCATTACCTGAGTTGAACAAAGTCAGACACTTAACTGACTGAGCCACCCAGGCGTCCCTGAAAAAAATTACACTTAACTAAAGATTTGAAGTGTTTCTACGCTGTCCATGGGCAAAGCACTCCAGTATTTAGAGGTCAGGGAAGATGAAAAGGAAAGGAGAAAGACAAGAAGCATGTAGAATAGTAAAAGGAAAGTCAAGTAAATGTCCTGGAAGCTGGAAAGTGTTTTAGGGAGGAGAGACATCAACGGTGTAAAATGCTGCAGATAGTATATAAAGATGCGGACTGAGGCGTGATCATTGGGTTTAGTGACGGGGAGGTTATTGGTAACCTTGAGAAGAGCAGTTTCACTGCTGCGTGGAAGCAAAACCCTGTAGGAGTATGTCAGGGAGATGGTTGGAGGCAGGGGACTGGAGACCCTGACTCTAGATACTTCAAGGAGTTTTGCCATAATGTAAGGGAATGAAACGGGGCAGTGGCCACAGGGGAACTTAGATCAAAAGAGATTTTCCTCTAACTGCTTTTACTTTTATTTTATTTTTTTCCTCCAACGTTTTTAAATCTTCAAACCTACAGAAAAGTTGGAAGAACAGTACAATACCCATACACCCTTCACCTAGTTGCAGCAATAGTTAACATTTTGCCACCTTTGCTTTCGCTCGAGAGAGAGGGTTTTGTTTTTTTTTAAACATTCTTTCAAACTGTGAAACACAAACATGTACAGGATAGTCCACAAAACAACATGTATAACTCAGGGAATGATCACAAAGCAAACATCCATGTAATCCCCACCAGTATCAGGAAAATAGAGCACTGCTAGCATCCCCAAAGCCTCCTTATGCCCCCTCCCACCCATCAAGATGTAACCATCATCCTGAATTTTCATAGTGATAACTTCTTGCTTTTCTTTATAGTTTTATATATTGCCTTTCCTTTTTTTAGCATACGGATATCTAATGACCCAACACCATTTATTGAAAGACTGTCCTTTCCCCACTGTTTTGAAGTGCCACCTTTGTTATAAATCAGGTGTTCATTTGGCAGTTCCTTTCTGGGCTTTGTGTTTTATTCTATCGGTCTATTTTCTTTCCTTGTACCATTAATATACTGGCTTAATTATTATAGCTTTATAATAAGTCTTAATATCTGCTGGAGCAATTACTTCCATCTTGTTCTTTTTCAGAAATGTCTTGGCTATTATTGGCCCTTTTCATGTCTCTATAAATGTTAGGATCAGCTTATAGAGTTTATATAAATAAAACAAAAGTCTTCTTGGGATTGGAATTGCATTGAATCTACAGATAATAAGGGGCAAATTCACATCTTTAAAATCATTCAATCTGGGGTGCCTGGGTGGCTCAGTTGGTTAAGCGACTGCCTTCGGCTCAGGTCATGATCCCGGAGTCCCGGGATCGAGTCCCACGTCAGGCTCCCTGCTCAGCAGGGAGTCTGCTTCTCCCTCTGACCCTCCTCCCTCTCATGCTCTCTGTCTCTCATTCTCTCTCTCGCAAATAAATAAAATCTTAAAAAAAAAATTAAAAAAAAATCATTCAATCTTCCAATCCATGAACATAGTAAAGCCATCCCTTTATTTAGTTCTTCAACTTCTCTCAATAAAGTTTATGCTTTTCTATGTAGAGGTCTTGCAGATTTGTGTGTATGTGAATTTATTCCTAAGTATTTGCAATTTCTAAATGTTATCTTTTTAAAAATTTTCATTCTTGTTGTTGTTGGCATATAGAAAATAGAATTGATTTGTTCATTGGCTCTTTATCCAGCAACCTTCTTAAACTCACTTTTTTGTTTTGTTTTGTTTTTTTATTATGTTAATCACCATACATTACATCATTAGTTTTTGATGTAGTGTTCCATGATTCATTGTTTGCATATAACACCCAGTGATTTCTCCCCTTCATTCTTCCCCTCCTGCTATCTTCTTCTTCTTCTTCTTCTTTTTCTTCTTCTTCTTCTTCTTTGTTTTTTTAACATATAATATATTATTTGTTTCAGAGGTACAATCTACGGCCATCCCACCCTGAGCACGCCCGATCTTGTCTGTTTCAGAGGTACAGGTCTGTGATTCAATAGCCTAATTCTAGTAATGTATCTGTAGATTATTTTGGATTTTCTTTGTATATAACCATATTGTGTATGAATAGTGGTAACTTATTTATTGCTTTTCTTCACTCTGAAATTATAAAATGCTTCCTCTCTCTTAGTAATTTTAGAATAATGATACATCTTCAATTTATCTGGTATTTATTTTTGGTATACAGTATGAGGTATGCCTTAAGCCCATTTTTTTTCCCAGATGGATATCCTGATTTCTATGCAACAGTTATTGAATAAGCCACCTTTCTCCAATAATTTGAAATGAGACCTCTCTCTATATTAAATTCTCACATATATTTGATTGTATCTTTAATAGTTTTTCTTCTGGTCACTGATTTCTGCTTTAGTTATTGTAACTTGAAAATGTTTTAATATCTGATAGTACTTTAAATTTATTTTTAGAATACGTATTGATATTCTTATTTATTTGATTCATATGAATTTGAGACCAGTTTATCTGTTTCCAAAAGAAAATTCTGTTAGAATTTTTATTAGGTGAGATAGATTTATTTATTTATTTATTTATTTTAAGTAATCTCTAGGCCCAACATGGGGCTCAAACTCACGATCCTGAGATCAAGAGTCACATGCCCTACCCATTGAGCCAGCCAGGCACACCAGGTAAGCTTTAAATTATAGATTCTGTGTCTCTTCTTGAGTCTTCCTATCCATGAACAGGGGCTGCTTTTCTAATTGTTCAAATCTTTTGTCTTCCTTAGCATTTTAATATAGACCTTGTGCATTTCTTAACAGTTTCTCCCTAGACATCTGTCCTTTTTGTTGATATTGTTAATGAAAATATTTACTCCATTATATTTTCAAACTGGTCATTATTCGTTTGCTTAAAGGTTGCATATTAATTTTTCTGTGGGTTAATTTTATAACCCAACCACCAAAGTAAATTCTTTTGTCTGTAATAGTTACTCAGTTGATTCTCTTGTTTTTCCTTGGGTAAGCAGTTAAATCATCTATAAACAACATACAATTTACTTCCTCTTTTCTACTTTCCATTTCTCTTAGTTTTTTTCCATTTAGGAGTTTTAAACAGGAGGGCTGTTTAATCAGATTGCAATAATAAAGACTACATTGGCTGCAAAAATGAAGCTAAGAAACCATCTTAGGAGTCCAGTACAGTATAGTGCAGATACCAAAAGATGGTCCCCCAGCTAAGAGAGTGGCAACAGAGACGGACAGAAACAGGTAGACTGGAAATGTATTTTGAAGCATGGCAGAGAACAGGCTGATTATATAATGCTAATAATTTGCCAACTTCTTGGAAACCTTAGAACCTAAGAATCATAGTTAGAATGGACCATAAATATAATCAAGTGTGTCCTCCAACCCTATGTTTTTTTGGATTCACTCCAAATTCTTAACCACCTCCAGTGAAGGAGAACTCACTATCTCCCATGGCACCTTTTCCATTTGTTCATTTCACTCCACAAACCCTGCTCTTTGTCAGGTACTATACGGGGCTCTAGGAAACATGAATAACCAACCCTCACTGCCCTCCCTGGGAAAGCTCAGAGAGAGGAACAACTCTCTTCGAAGGTCTCTTTCCTGGCAGACCCTGTCCTCTAGTTTCCTGTCTTAATCCTCTTTCAGAACGAGATTGACCTCTCTCCGTGGGCGGCTTACTCCTCAGGTGTTTGCAAAGGTGATCGTCGCTTTTTGGGGTTTCTCATCTTCTCTTCCTTTTTTTTTTTTTTTTAAGATTTTATTTATTTATTTGAGAGAGAGAGAAAAACAGTGGGGTGCAAGGGCAAAGGGAGAGGTTGAAGCAGACTCCCCGCTGAGCAGGGAGCCTGATGTGGGCCTCAATCCTAGGACCCTGAGATCATGACCTGAGCCTAAGGCAGACGCTTAACTGACTGAGCCATCCAGGCAGCCTTCCTCCCCCTTTTTCTGAGCTTGACCTGACATCAGATTCCCTCTTTATCTTGATCCAAATTTGGGAAACTTGAAACTTGTAGTTCAGTGTTACTTTTCTGAAGCGTTATTATGTCATTTCTTAACCTTTATTTTATAATTCAATACCTGGGAAGTTAATGTTCATTTGTTAGATAACTTTGTTCATATTTTTGGTTTTGGCTTAGTGTTTATCTTTTTTAAAAGACTGTCTTCATTAAGGACTTAACGTATGAAGTGTATAATTAGCTTTGGGAACAAAAAACTAAATAGCCGTGCAATCAGTTACATTGCTAGACTCAGCAAACCCTAGTTGTTACAAGGCTGAAGGCATTTTTTTCAATGAAAAGACTGAGAATAAAATAATAATGCACATGGAAGGAAGCTAGCAAGCTGATTAGTGTTAAGAGTAAAATATAAATATATGATTTCTTCAAGACAGGCAGTAATATAGAGTCTACTTCTACACATATTACGTAACATCCAGTTCCAAATAATCAGGCTTTCCACCCCCCGCCCCCAACAGCCCATTACTCTTCCAAAGTAGTTATGTTAATTATGTGTTCACAATCCCCATCCAATTTAACGGTCAATATATTTAATGAACATGTTATCTTCTTGGTGAGGCATTCTTGTGTAACATTTGAATATGACTATATTTACAGTGTCAAAAGACATAATACAATTTGACAGGTTTTCCCAAATGAGTTGCAGAGAAGTGACAGGGGAGAAAGGAAGAGGTTTTTTTCTGTAAAGAGGATGACCCTGGCCAATCCAGAATGGAGACAGCTGTGAATTATAATGGGTTCCTCTGAGAATTGTCAGATTTAAACTAAACTGATGATACAGTAGCTCAGGGAATAATTCCTGGTGTTTTGCAAGTGTTGTGGGCAGTTTACTTCCCTGCATGATGTAAGATAATTTTCTCTCCCTAAATCTTTTCTTTAAGCATAGGTAACTTGGAATAGCATAAAGAGCATTTGTTTTGCAGTCAGATATGTCTGACTTTGAATTCTGATGTGAATCAGGACAATCTGACAGGTTTTTTTTTTAATTTTGCATGTTACTTAACTTTTCTAATTTAGTTTTTTAAGAGTTAAGTGGATTATAATGTTTTCTCTAATAAGGTGAAATTGAATAAATGCAATGCATGTTCTTTTTAATTTTATTTTTAGCAATCTCTACCCTCAATGGGTGCTCGAACCTACAACCCTGGGATCAAGAGTCACATGCTCTACCAACTGAGGCAGCCAGGTTCCCCCCTTGTTTGATTTTCATAAATGTATATACACTTAACAAAACCCTTACTTAATATTTAGTAATATTAGAGGCCAAATTCTTTACCATGTATTCCTTTTTTTTTTAATCCATTACTTCGCCTAAATTACTTCTTTCTTTTTATTTATTTATTTATTTATTTAAAGATTTTATTTATTTATTTGACAGAGAGAGACACAGCGAGAGAGGGAATACAAGCAGGGGGAATGGGAGAGGGAGAAGCAGACTTCCCGCGGAGCAGGGAGCCTGATGCGGGGCTCAATCCCAGGACTCTGGGATCATGATCTGAGCCGAAGGCCGACGCTTAACGACTGAGCCACCCAGGCGCCCCTAAATTACTTCTTTCTTTCATATCTGACATTTACTGGGTCATTCTGCTTCCAAAAGCCTTCTCAAATTGGTTTCATCATCTCCATTCTTTCTGGCAAGGCCTTAGTTCAGGATATTATTTTCTCTTGCTTAGATTATTGCCGCAACTTTTTAATTTACACCCTTGTCTCCAAGTCTAGCTGCTTTTTTTTCCCAGTAATGCTACTTCTAATCCATCTTCCACACTGTGCAGATCTTCTCAAAACACAGTTCTGATTATGAGTCAACTTTTCTTGCTTAAATACTTTTGTTTTTTAGAGAAACTTTTTTTAAAGATTTTATTTTTTAAAGTAAGTTTACCCTCAACATGGGGCTCGAACTCAGGAGCCTGAGATCAAGAGTGGCATACTCCACCACCTGAGCCAGCCAGGCGCCCCTTGTCTAAATACTTTTAATGTCCAATTTTTATTGCACAGACCTTGTATTCCTCAACTTTTGTCTTTGATGTCAAACAGGGTTTAGTGGGGTTTTTTGTTTTGTTTTGTTTGTTTTAGATTTATTTATGTATTTGAGAGAGTGAGAGTGAGAGGGGGACATGAATGGGAGGAGCAGAGGGAGAGGAAGAGAGAATCTCAAGCAGACTACATTGAGTGCGGAACCTGATGCGGGGCTTGATCCCATGACGCTGAGATCACAACCTGAGCCAAAACCAAGAGTTGGACGCTTAACCGACTGCACCACCCGGGCACCCCAAACAGGGTTCTATGTTAACCACTGTCTTCTATTATGTTATTCAATTACCTGTTATTGGAATAGGTTATGTCTGAACAAAAAGATCTACAGGTGGCTTTTAAACATATAATTTAAAAAAAGATTCAGAAATATGATATAAATGTGCCGGGAGCCTGGGTGGCTCGGTCAGCTGAGCGATGGACTCTTTTTTTTTTTTTTTAAGATTTTATTTATTTATTTGAGAGAGAGACTGAGATAGAGAGAGCATGAGAGGGGGGAGGGTCAGAGGGAGAAGCAGACCCCCTGCTGAGCAGGGAGCCCGATGCGGGACTTGATCCTGGGACTCCAGGATCATGACCTGAGCCGAAGGCAGTCGCTTAACCAACTGAGCCACCCAGGCCCCCTGAGTGATGGACTCTTAATTTCAGCTCAGGTCATGATCCCAGGGTCCTGGGATCCAGCCCCGCGTCGGGCTCCCTGCTCAGCACAGAGTCTGCTTGTCCCTTCCCTCCCCTTCTGCTTCTTCCTGTGCTCACTCTCTCTCTCTCAAATTAAAAAAAATATATATGATAAAATTGTTCAACTTTACTTAAAAAAAGAGATCTGAAAATTAAAACTAAGTAGGATATTATTTTTCATCAGTTTGACAAAGATCAAGAAGTTTGACAATAAGGGCGCCTGGGTGGGTCAGTTGGTTAAGCGACTGCCTTCGGCTCAGGTCATGATCTCAGGGTCCTGGGATCGAGCCCCGCGTCGGGCTCCCAGCTCCGCGGGAAGCCTGCTTCTCCCTCTCCCACTCCCCCTGCTTGTGTTCCCTCTCTCGCTGTCTCTCTCTGTCAAATGAATAAATAAATAAAATCTTTAAAAACAAAAAAATGACCATAACTTTGACCCAACATCCCGTTTATCCTACAGAAATATACATGCAAAGATATAAGTGAAGAATATTCATTGCACCATTGTAACAACAAAAGATGGACAATAACCAAAATGTCTATCAATGGAGTGATGGTTATGTAACTTGCAGTATGTCCTTAAAATGTAATTCTACAGAGCCACTAAAAAGGAATGATGCAATCTATGTGTACTCATATACAAAGATCTCAAAAATAAAAAACGAAAATCAGAGCGGTATGTATAGGATGCTATCATCTGTATGAAATTTTAAAAGATATATATGTGATAGATATTGTAAGTATTAAACCTCTCTGGGGTGATATAGAAAGGATTGGAGAGCGTTGTTGCCTCTGAGGGGCTGAATTAGGGAGTAGGGGTAGAGAGCTTACACCTCATACTCTTCAGTACTATTTATATTTTTTTTCACCAGGCAGACAGGTAGACTATGTTTATTTGTGTCTTCATCATACCAAGCAATTTAAGAAGGAAAAAATGAG